TTTAATTAATTAAATGCATATAATTAATTGAAAAAGCGAGGAACTTGAATTGAGAATTTGATATATTATCCATTTGTGCATTTATTTTGCTTAGAATAATTGCTTTGGGCTACCGTGAGAGGTATGTGTTAGTTGTAGACAATGCATGATGATTAGCAAACTAAAACTAACAATCAGATGTGTTCATAGGTATGACGGTTGATAGAATACATTAACTTTATGTATTGAATGATTGTGTATATGACCAATGGTTTATATGCATTATGTGTAGACGGTTGGTAGAATACATTAACTTTATGTATTGATGATTGTGTATAAGATTCGGTTTATATGCATTGCTTGTGTAGAGGAGGAGATGGGTGTGTACTCCACGGTTTAGGGGAAGATGGGATGTACCTCTAAACCGATAGGATTGGGAGGAGATGGGGATGAACTCCTAGATACATGCTCATATGCTTGTCTGAGAGTGAAGATACAGCTCATATGCTTGTCTTTGTGAAGTGTAGATACAGCTCATATGCTTGTCTATAGAGAAGTGTAGATATAGCTCATATGCTTGTCTAGTGAAGTGTAGATATAGCTCATATGCTTATTTGTTGTAGTATTGATATACTCATATGCTTATTGTTGTAGTATTGATATAGTTCATATGCTTATCTGTTGTAGTATTGATACAGCTCATATGCTTATCTGTTGTAGTGTTGATATAGCTCATATGCTTATCTATTGGAATATTGATATAGCTCATATGCTTATCTGTTGTAGATTGATACAGCTCATATGCTTATGTTGTAGTGTTGATATAGCTCATATGCTTATCTATTGGAATGTTGATATGCTCATATGCTTATCTATTGAAAAGTTTGTTTGATTGATGTATAGCACTAAAATGTATATCATCATCGTTTGTGAAGTATGGAAGTAGTTTATGTGTTTTGATACAACACCAAAATGTGTATCCACCGTGAATTTTGAAAATGTTCTAGTGATGAACTATAATCTCATCAAAATGTTTTGGCCAGAGTATTGAGGCCTGTTTTCAAACCCAAAGTTGAACAAGAAATGAAAAGTAACTTGTAACGTAGACTTGGTTGTCATGGAATTGAATAAGATGTAAATGGAGGTGTAAGTATGACCATCTTTCAGTTGCTAATCTTTTAGGCATTGTTTATAGTTGGTTTAGTATATCTCTGCTGGGCTGTGGCTCACCCTATATGGAAACATCATTTTCAGGTACAGGTAGCATGCCACTTCTGAGGACCTAGCTTGGAGGCTAGGGGCAAACCTCTTTGTTGCCTTATTTTCCTTTTGTTGGAGTACATGTAAATTCAAGCCAAGGCTTAATGTGTAACCGAGTCAATACTCTCTTTTGTAACCAAGTGTTAATTGGAAAGCTGTAAGCCCGTAGGGCATTTACTTTTGTTGTTAACGTGTGAATACTTTTGTAATGAAGTACTCTGATGAATTGAGAAACATGGATCTTTTGTACATAAATGTATGTTATATTGATGGTTAATTTATTATTTTGAGGGCGTTACAAACCGTCAACAAACATGAGCGCAACTTCTACAGCAAAACATTTTTCTTTCTTTCTCAATTCACAAATATTACATTACTCTATATAAATCATGAGAATTAACCACTTAACTCATTTAACTACTACAAAATTATAAATACATCACACTTTTTTATGTGTGATGTAATATTATTTTATCACACATTTTCAAGTTTTGTCACAGTGTGATCTTTGAGAGTGTAACGGTTTTGAATGTCATTAAAAGATGATTGCATCCACCAGTTTTGCGTGTGATAATAAATATTTATATTCACATCTTTTAAGGTGACTAATAACATTTTAGATCACAGATTTATAGTATGATTTAATATCTAAGAAACCTGTGATTAATATGAGATAAGATCACATATTTATGCATTTCTCATCACAGTTAATGAGTGTGAATAAAAAGAGGGTTCAACATAAATAATATTTTTTTGTACGCGGCATTTGAAGAATGTAATACACACTATATATATCATTTGAATCACAACCACCCCCAATTAATTGGAATAAAGGTCATATATTTCATAAATGAAATGAATGTTCAAAAGTATATACAAAGGAATTAATAAAAAAGTTTTTAACTGTGATTACATGCATTAAAAAATAAAAATAAAAACCGAATAACAAAGTTCTTGAATTCTTTGACCATATTTTGCATCTCTCCAAGCAATTTTTGACTTTGAAAAATGAAAACACAAATTAATTCAGAGACCGCTTAGCACCATAATGCATAAATTACAACTGGTAAGAGACTGTTCTAGTCTTAGAAAAGATAAAGTCGGACATTTTCTCATCACACCGATTCTTCATACTCCTGCACCAACAGAAAATGAAGAACCACTTTGACTGTTACTAGTATAAAATGTTTGGATTACCATATAGATATGACATATACATAGAATCAACAAATCCAAAATGAAAATCTTCAGTGCATGGCAAATATTTTAAAGTCATAAACCAAAATAAAAGCCAACTATTATTTAAATATAGTAAATAAAAGTCAACTATTTTAAAGTCATAAAACCAATATACATGGAATCAACAAATCCAAAATGAAAATCTTGAAGTAATTGTGTATTCGTCACCAACTAAATAAATAGTTTATTAGCATTTAAGAACGAAAGTTATATCATATTTATATGTTGGATTTCAACTCATTTGTTTAACGAAATTAATCCATTCAACTCACACTTCATCAAGTTCGATTTCTGTGCAAGTCTTTTTTTCATTGAATTGCAAGAGGTTATTTACAAATAATTAGATAATGAAGATGATGTACAAGTATCATGAATAATAAGTATAATAATAAAAGTCGAATTTATCTCACATTTTGTTTTCTTAGATGCTTTATCTCTAATGAGGTCTTTCATATATCTCGCATTACATAAAACCCACATTCCACATTTGTGGGTTGTTGCGGAAAGTACATGAAAAGCATTTTCATTATTATTAGAAACTATATATAAAGTGTTATGATCAAGCTGAACAACCATTACCATAAATACAAGTATGACAAAATTAAAGAAAATGATATTGACTACGTGAACTACTTTCCACACTAGATTGGTCCTCCCCTTTGGCATTTAAAGAAAATGGCATTCAAAGCAAATTATAAGGCAGTTATCTCCAATATACAAAAGCTTTTAAGATCAACTTCATAAATGATCTTTTTGCTTCATCTTAACAACTTAACAAGCTTCATTTCAATCAAGCAAGTGCTGATACGATATAGGATATATAATTTTGATTGCCCTTGATATCTTGCCCTAGACCCACACCATCTTAGAATATTTAATTATGGAGGACCCTTGAACTAAACAATGATTTCCAACCTACTATTTTTGCTGCTTAGCCCAAAATGATTTCTAAAATCCCAAGGGCTCAGCACTTTCACAACCTAGATTCGGATAAATTGTCATAGAAAATAAAGGCTCTAAACAACAAATGCATGCCAACAATATTAAAATTAAATACTGATATGCAACTGAACCTCAATTTAGAACCTCCTATCTTACATGTAATAGGCAGATGATAAACCAACTCATCCTCTTAAAAGAGGAATATATTTTAAAATACAAGTAGTGATCTAGTTTAGTTATCTCATGAAACACAAACATCCAAACAAAGTGTAGAACCTTGCTAAAATTGTATAAAAAAAAAAAAGCATTTTCATTTCTTCATAAAGACAATTAAAATGAAGATTGATAATCTTTTAAAGCGAGAACAAGCGCTTGCCTCTTGGCATCCCAAACTTGCCACCAAAGAGGAAAACATTAAAAGGAACATCCAATGAGTCAATGAAGTTAAGGGAAATGAAGTATTTTTTCTAAGATGGTTCTGAATTACGATAATCTTAGATGATTATGTTGGGAAACATGACTGCTGAAACTAATAGTGTTTTGTGATAGTATTTGTTCACTGTATCACAGATAACAAGGCAAGCATGATGCATCTCACAAAAAGGGAAACATAAAGATAGATATCAGCTTTACATTCATATATCAACATTACATATACAAAACAAAAATATTGTAAGGAAAGAGATCTTACCAATCATCATTTGAACCGGTAGGAGTAGCATAAAGTGCACCAGACCTTTTCCAATTCTCTAACAGCTTCTTGTTGTTATGACTCTGCGCTGGACCACCAGTAACATGACTTTTATGCAAAACAAGAAGTAGTAATCTCTTTGACGGCCTCATTTGATGTAACTGATTTACAATAGAATTAAGCTACAACCAAAAGAAATTATTAAGAACCATATCCATGCGATTCTAACTTTGAGGAAGAGATATATTACTGTTAAAGCTTATGATCAGCAACCCTCTTACCTGGGAAAAGTTGAAATTATGCCTATTAATAAGCCCCACATTTGCACCATCTATAACTACATCAAATGGATCGTGTCGCTGAAGCCACTCCTGAATGAGTGCACCTTCTAAGTTAGTCAGAATGCCATTCTTTTTAAGTATTAATCGCTTGAACCATACACAAGCAGCAAATATGGGCCTTTGACGAAGACATTGAATACATTTTCAACAATACAATTACAAGTACATTGATCATTTTCAAACAAGTCTCTCAGGCCTAGCAGTACCTTGGCAGCCATTAGGGGCAGATTGCAGTCTCAAACCCCACCCCTACCAAAAAGAGTATATCGACATTTGATAAAATATTCATGTGATAAAGTAACAGAGATATGGAGTAATGCAGTCTACCAACATGTCCACTAGTAGACATAAATCATTAAGATATTTATGGACAACAAGATGACAATCTAGTTATTCAAATTCCAAATTTGGAAGTAACATAAAGAAACAATATAAAAATTATTGACAGCATTGCCCACTAATGTGAAAGAATCAACTATAGGAATCAATTCCAAAATAATATACATCTCAAGTAACTCCATGTGTTGAATTGCGGTATTAATCAATGAAGCATAAAGATAATGTCATACCTGAAACTGCATAAAATCAGACTTAACCTCTCTTTGGCATACCAAATTGGTCAATGAAGCAGTGAAGTTTTCAGTCTCTTTAGGATCAATATCAATGCTAACAAGCTTCTCTCCACACGATAGGCACACACCCATTTCATCCATTTGCATCCTCGTAACTCTCAAATTCCCATTTCTGAGCCACCCTTGTCCATGCCACCCCCTCCTCCCTTCACAACCTCTTCCCTCACCTTACCCACGTCCCAATTCACCTCCCCAACCTCTGCAGCCCTTTCAGACTCAAACCAACGCTCCATAACCCCAGCAGTCTCTTCTGTGACCTGCCTCACCGTGACATGCAACCGGTGCAACATTTCATAAACTCTATCAGTCTTTTAAAACTCTAGTTGACACACAATTAACTCAGTACTGGCCTATGCATGATGATAGCAATAATATGTATAGTTTAATAAAACTAACAATTCAAGTCCAAGCACTTCGATGCCACATTGCATTGGACCGCCATACAATCACCAAAAAAACAAAAAAAAAATTGATACCCCTCATAAAGCACCCAAAACCCTTGTTAAGCACCGTTTGTGGCCCACATGCTAACCAATAAGAGATTTCATATCAATATAGATAACTTAGGCAAATTCCCAGCAAAAGAGTCAATGCCCTAAAAAAATTCCCAGCAAAGAGATTTCATTACAATTCTTAAAGCCAATTGTTTATAATTTTAGTATGTCGAAAAAAACTGAAAATTGTTCCCATTCTCAAACAAAATCAATGTCAACATGCAGATTAAAAAACAATCGCAAACCCTATAAACAAAATGATAAGGAAATAAATTATTTTCCACCTAATAATTGAAAACCCATAAATAAACTGATGAAGATCGATATTCCTTTGATAAAGGTCCAGCTTTTGCAAGATCAAACCCAAAAAAGAAAAAAAAAAACCCCTAAAATTACCTTTGAAATTGGGCGGATCGAATTTGAGAGCGAGGTCGTACGATCTCGATCTGGAATTAATTGGATCAACCGAATGTGTTGCAAAGGCGAACCTGATTCGATCACCATCGGCTGTCTCGCCGGCCGATCACTGATTGCTAGAGAATGAGATGAAAGAACGAGAGAGTGAGTGAGAGAGAGTGAAAAGCTGCATTTAGGCCAATTTCCCTGATTATGCCATTTTCAAAATTTTTTGATGTCTTTTTTTTTCTTTATTCCCATTAGAGTTGAGACGACTTTAGCCAAGCCGTTTTCTAGAACACGACTTTATCAATGTCGTTTTTAGTGAATAAAAAATTTTAAAAAATAATTCAATGAAAATGTCTTTTGGAAAATCATTTTTACTTAAATTATAATTAAATTTGAGTTAATTAAAAATGATTTTACTAAAAATGTTTTTAGTAGTTTTTTTCCCCTCATTTATATTTTCAGCATAAATACTGGTTGCCATAGTAATTTTAAAAAACCGTTTTATAAAACGTTTTTACAAAAACCGTTTTATAATACGATTTTTGTAAAACCGCTTTCAATTTTTTTTTCCTTCGTTTTGTTTGGTTTAAAAACTCAGCTAGTGCAACAACAGTTCGAAACACACACACTCTGCATTCAAAATTGTCGAATAGCACCGCGAAGGAGGCCAAGAAGAGAGACACGCGAAGAGCACCGCGGAGGAGGCGAAGAAGACGAAGGCCACCGTGAGAGCTGTACAAAGAACGAAGAACGAAGAACGGGTAACGTGACACCATCACCAAAATGAGGAAGCCCTTCAGCAAACATCAACATGAAGGTTTGTATTGCATAAATGATGGTTTTCATTTCAGATGTCAGAGTTTCAATTTATAAATTACGGATTGCTTAAACTAGGGTTTTGAAAAGGTGCAAATGTTGTAATTTATAAATTATGGATTGCTGAATTTAGGTTGTTGAATGTAGATCAAAATGTTCTAGCCACCAAATTTGACAAATTATTTGGTCATCTGTTGTATTTTATTTTAAATGGTTGTAATTATCTTATTGTATGTCGAAATTAAATTTTTTCCATTTTGATTATATACACTTTTGTGAAAGATGTTCAGGTTTTTTGTTTGCAAATAATTTTACAGTATTTTTTTATTTCAAATGTGGCCATTATTTAAAATGTACAGGTTATGTATTTTAAATGTACATGTTTTATATTTGGAAATATTTTGTATTTTATTTGAAATGTGGGCAGTATTTGGTTTTATTTGCAAATGATTTTATTTCCATTTTCATTAAGAGTAGTAGTCCGAATTAAAATGTGTTCATATTGTATGTTTCATCTACAAATTGATTCATCTGACCAATATGTTCTGTTTTCTTTGACGTGGCACATAGTTTTGCATTTTTACAAGGGAATTGTAAAACGAATTTGTGAGCATTTATTATTTAGAGTTTGCATAAGTATAGGTTTGAATATCTAGAGTTTGTATAGTGTCAGAAACCTATCATGTGTATGTATAGGGTTCAATATGTATGTTGACGATTATATAGACTTTTTATCATTTCGGCTTTCTATCAAGCATTATAATCAAATGTCATGTAGTAACAATTCAACCATGAAAATCAGATTCCCAAATGTGCTTATGTTAATCTTTTGAAAAAATTGACAATGTTTATATGCACAGTTTACGTATAGAAGTTGTTAGCATTGTGTTCTATTGGGGGGGAAAGATTTTGCGAAATCGTGAGATTGCGAGGAAGGTGTGTCATACGACACTGAAGCGCAAGGGTTGTACAATGTACATAGGGGGATAACATTGGCCGAGTTGGAGGCTATGATGGTGCCCAAGGTCGGTATGTACGGGGAAATAACGCGAGTAAAGTTTAAATGTAGACTCCCATGTCGGGGGAAGTATAGGTTGTTGCCAATCAACGATAATGAGACATTAATTAATGTCTTAGATCTCCCACAGAAATATGGTCCTGAATTTTATTTGGAAATCTATGTGGAGAAGGAGAGCAATGTTGGTGGCATAAACATGTCAATTCTGATGGGAGGGACATTCACTCAAATGTTGACACAATCGCAATCCCCTGACAATACACTTATACAATTTTCACACATGTACCCTCAAGATTACCCTCCATTCGATTATTCTCAGAGTTACACTCAATTCAATGCATCAGAGCATGCTCATGGTTGTTACAGTACCGGAGCAGCTCCAAGTGCTCCGACAATGTCTAATCCGCTGGTTCTTACAACCCCATCTGCCTACTGGACTGCAGAATGTCCAACAGTTTTTAATGGTAAACGTACAACGGAGACAACAACCCAATTGTATGCAACCTCCAATGATACAGTGCCATTTTATGACAAGCCTGGAGTAAGTGATGAAGATTCCGTGGAAGATTTCGATGGTGCACAAGAAGGTGAAGACAATGAATCTGGTCATGACAGAGTTTGAGGGCAGGATGAAATGCAGGACGTACAACCAATTATCCCTTTCTATAGTAATGTGCATTTCGACAATGATGGCTCCATTACTAGCCGCGATGTTGTCGAACATTGGCCATTGTGGGACTCCGAAACTGCTGATTTGGAGAAAGGAATGATCTTTATTGATAAGAAAAGCTTAGTGCACGCTGTTCAATTGTATAACCTGAAGCGCAATCGAGAATGCAAGGTCGTAGAATCCAAAGGAAACAGTTGGGTGTCCGAGTGCAAGCACGGCTGTAACTGGAGGGTTCAGGCAACGAAGTTGAAAGATAAAGATTTCTTTCAAATCAAAATGTTTGAAGTGCCGCATTAGTGTGTGTACCCAAGAATGAATAGGGACAATTGCAACCTGAAGTCCGATCTCATTGCTCATTTCATCAAGGGACAGATTGCGGTAAGTAACATGATATAATTTGTTCAGGATTTAAGTATGCGTTTACTATATTGAAATGTAATATATATTTGAAGATATCACCAGAATTGCCTTTTGCTACCATTTTTGAGGTTGTGAAGGAGAAGTTTCAGTTCACAATATGATATAAGAAAGCGTGGCTTACTAGGACGAAAGCTATTGCAATGGTGTTTGGGGACTGGGATGAGTTGTATCAAAGGTTGCCTAGATATATGGCTACATTGTAGGCATTCAATCCAGGCACAGTTGTCATGTGGGACATGATCTCAAAATTACAATCTACCTCAATTGGTATTAAAATGTACATGAACTATGTGTTCTGGGCATTTAAACCAGCAATAGAAGGCCTCAAGTATTGTCATCCAGTGATATGCATTGGCGGCACACACTTGTACGGGAAATACGAAGGCAAGATTGTTGCGGCCACTGTAGTGACTGCTGTAGACAAGATTATACCTCTTGCCTTTGCTGTTGTTGACAAGGAGATGATCGAGAGTTGGGGTTGGTTCATTACTCTCCTTCGGCGACATGTGTGCCGTGACCGAGAGGGGGTGACATTGATATCCGATCGACACACGGCTTTGCTTAGTGTCGTGTCTAGAATTTGGGACAATCCAGCAATGCAACCAAGAGGCTAACATAGGTATTGCTTGTGACTCGTATGTAGCAATTTCAATGAAAGATTTGGCAATACAGTAGCCAAGGATCTTGTGTAGAGAGCTGGTTCTGCACGGCAAGTGCGAAAGTTTAACAAGATTATGGAGGATATCTACAAGCTAGAGAAGAATGCTGAACGGTGGTTTAGTCGGATGAACCCTATTCATTGGACATTGTGCCATGATAGTGGTTGTCATTGGGGGTATATTGACGACAAACCATATAGAGGGCTTCAATGGTGTACTCAAAGGTGCACATAGTGTCCCAATTACAGCATCTGTTGAGATAACTTTTTATCGGCTTGTCAAATATTTTGACGAGGGCAGGACCATTGCTGAAAATGCGAGTAATTGGGGTCACTTGTACACGACTAACGTTCAGCGATGGATTAATGAGCACCAAGCTAAAGCAAATGTCCATATGTTGGTACCGATTAATAGGTAAAATTCAATGGATGCATGGGATTCACAACACATTATCATTTCACACTCATCGGTCATTCATGTTAGTCTATATTTGAACATACCCTCAATATTAATCTACGTACATACATTTTCTCTGCAGGGGAACAGGGGAGTATGAGATCAGGACAGCACTACATGGGATGGGAGATGGTGCTCGTCAAATTGTCAATCTTCAACCACCGCGTTGTTCATGTGGGAAGTACACATTATTTCACTTGCCATGTTCCCACATGCTTGCTGCGACAGCAGACTTGGGAGAGGACCCTTTTCCTTTCGTTGCACCGGAGTATAGGTTAGAGGTCCACAAGCATATATTCGCATAGAAGTTTAGGCCCATGCCGCACAAGCAATATTGGCCTAATGATGATTACCCAACTTTGCTCGCTATCCCAGACCAGCAACGTGAGGTTAAAATGGGTCGTTCTTAACATAGCCGCATCCACAACGAAATGGATACCTCTAGACAAAGTGGAATGCACCATTGTAGTTTGTGTTTGCAGAGAGGTCATGATAAGAGAAAATGTCTTGCGAGAATCCGATCGATTCAACATTAGTTTTTTGTCTAGTTTATATATTAGTGCCACACAACTTGCTTCATTCTTTGAATTGCAGTTAATATATTAATCAATGAAGCAGTATTTAGTAATTTGATAATGTATTTACCACTTGAATTAGAAAATGTCGATTAATCATGACATTGATTTGGCCAAATGTGGCAAATCTCTTCAAATGGGATTTGTAATTAATTTTGTTTTAACCTATCCTTTACCGCTTAGTTTTTCGGAAACGTTCATGTACTGCATTGTGAACACTTTGGTGCATTGGTGGTCCATTGTGTCCTGACCTCCATGGACACTTGTTTATCTGTCCTTCTGTCCTTAGTTGTTGTGATATTACAAGAATGAAAATATTGTGAATTTAATTAATAAGCACCAATATAAATGCATGTCATATTCAATGGTTTGCCACATTTTGTTAGGTCTGAAATTGTTGTTCTGTTTTGAAATAATGAATGGCGGGAGGAAGCCCATGTTATCAAGTCAATCGTTGCTCTGAAATTTATTACATATTGGTAAATGCTTAGTTCTTGTAAAAAGTTAAGTATTGTGTTTCAAATTTGCTTCAAACCCTCTTCAAACC